GATGGATGGTGAGTGGAACCACGAGATGGAATGACGTGACGACGGTGAGTGAACTACACGGGGAGGTGGAGGGAGGTGGCCGATGGTCGATGGATGGGTGAGTGGACCACAGGTCGGAGGAAGGAAGGGAGATGAGATGGTCAGATGGATGGGTGGAGTGGACCACAGGTCGGAGAATGAGGAGAAAGATATATGTGAGATGGTCGATGGATGGGTGAGTGGACCACGGTCGGAGGTGAGGAAAGGAGATGGGAGATGGTCGATGGATGGGTGAGTGGACCACGGGTTGGAGGTAGGGAAGGGAGATGGGTGAGATGGTCGATGGATGGTGAGTGGAACATGGGTACGGAGGAAGGAAGATGGGTGATGAATGATGGATGGACTGGTGAGTGGAAGCGATGAGAAGGTGGGTGAGTTGGTCGACGGACGGGTGGAGAGGACACAGGTCGAGGGAGGAAGAGATGTGTAGAGATGGTCGATGGATGGGTAGAAGTGAACCACAGGTCGGAGGAGAGAGTGAGGAGGAATGACTGGTGATGTAAGGATGGTAGACAACACGGATGGAGGTAGATCCCGTGAGACAGGTCGAAGATGGAGGAGAGGAACGGTCGATGGATGGGTGAGTGGACCACGGGGTCTGGAGGTAAGGAAGGGAGATGGGTGAGATGGTCGATGGATGGGTGAGTGGACCACGGGTCTGAGGTAAGGGAAGGGGATGGTGAGATGGTCGATGGATGGGTGGAGTGGACCACGGGTCGGAGGCAGGTCCGGATGGATGGGTGGAGTGAGAAGGGAGATGGGTGAGATGGTCGATGGATGGGTGGAGTGGACCACAGGTCGGAGGTGAGGGAGGAGGATATGTAGGTGAGTTGGTCGATGGGTGGATGCTTATGTGGATGGGTGGAGTTGGTCGATGTGGATGGTCGATGTGGATGGGTGGAGTGGACCACGTGTCTTAGGTGAGAGAGGAAGGTAGGTGAGTTGGTCGATGGATGGGTGAGTGGACCACAGGTCAGGAGGTGAGGGAGGAGGAAGGTAGGTGAGTTGGTCGATGTGGATGTTTATGTGGATGGGTGAGTTGATCGATGTGGATGTTTATGTGGATGTTTATGTGAATGGGTGTGAGCAAGATGTGTAGGCTTAACAATATCACGGCTCGCAGGTAGGCACCAGTTTACAATAACATTTATTTAAGAATGTTACAGGGGTCATTGTGAGGTGACTGTACTTTACACACAATGACACATTTCCCCGGGGTCAAGAATCAGCATGTGTTGACGCTTGCTCCCCTTCAAGACATATATGTCAGGCTTGTCCACTAACAATGCCTATGGTAAAACACCGTCCGGAATCAAGTAATACTACTCTTATCCCCTAAACTCATGTATATAGGAGCACGTAAACTACAGCATCTCCTTTGTCTCTAACACTGTACAAGAAAGCTGATATGACTGGTTGGTGAGATTCAGTGAAGAGGGCGTATATTCTGAAAACACACACAAGCACTCATGCACTCGCTCAAACACATAGTAAGACTCGGGTACATAGAGAGACTAAGATCCATGGTAGGACTACGATCCATGGTACACCTCAGATCCTTGGTAGGCTTAAGGTCCATTGTAGGCCTTAGATCCATGGTATGCTTCCATACGTCCATGTTGGACCTCAGGTCCATGATAGGACTCAGATCCAGGGGGGAGGGGGTGGTCTTAGATCCATGGTACGCCACAGATACAGGGAAGGTCCCAGATTCACGGTAAGCCTCAGATCCATTGTATATCTTTGGTCCATGGTAGGCCTCAGATCCATGCTATACATCAGGTCCATGGTATACATCAGATCCATGGTACACATCATATCCATGGTAGGCCTCGGATTCATGGTAGACCTCAGGTCCATTGTATATCTTTGGTCCATCGTAGGCCTCAGGTCCATGGTAGGACTCAGATTCGTGGTAGGCCTCATGTCCTCAACGTCGAGTACGATTCTCTGAGGCTTATTCCCATCGATGGTAACAACCTCCAATGCTTTATGAAGACGATTTTCCTGCTTAACGACGCAAACGAGAAAGCAAAGTGGTCCCAGTGATAATATATACTCATGCCAACAATGGTTGTCACCCCCTTCAAGTTTTTGTAATTGGAGAGGGGTGGGGTGGTGGTGTGTGGGGGTTGGGGTGGGGAGGGGGTGACAACCATTATTGGCATGAGTATAGTAAATGGGGCAGTGTGTGAGAACCAATACAGAAAGAAAATGAGCGATAACCAGTCATCTGTCGAAAATGCATTCATTCGTAACCAGCTTGTATGCTTAGATCGCAGCATGACTGCCTGCAATTTTAATGTCCATCGGTTCACAGCCAATTATAACACAATAAATTGAATGTGATAGGCTGACATACACATAAACGACGAAATCATTTCTATAACCATAAACATTATCCTAATCCTAACAAATCTCAAATACACGCAGAGACCGATGTGCTAATCCAACTGTCCTAAGCAATATATATGTCAGTCTATCAATTGCTAATGATATCACACACTAAGTATAACATCCCGGGTGACCTAACTGCCATTGGAAAAATTAACTATAGATAAAATACATTATTGTTTCATAAGGTGTTATTTTGCTTTAATGACAGACCTAACTATAATTGAAAACGTAAATATAGATAAAAGACATTATTGTTTCATAAGGTGTTATTTTGCTTTAGTTATAGACCTAACTATAATTGAAAAACGTAAATATAGATAAAATACATTATTGTTTCATAAGGTGTTATTTTGCTTTGGTTGAATTAATTGTTGATTGGATTTCATTAAAAGTGTCGATTTCATCACAACAGAACTACGATACTTAGGTATGCTCGTTTTTAATGAGTTACCATGCCAATATTTGATGATTTCACCAAAGTCAAAACATTCGTCACTCAGGCTCGCTTACGACATACAGCTGATATGCTACAATAAACCTGAAATACTGGGCAAAGTCAGGCAAAAGCTGCCAAGGTGAACCGGTCGCAGTGCAACATTACAGGGCCTAGATTTTCGAAACTCTCTTAGCGCTAAGATACTCGTAAGTGCCATACATTAACATTAACTTACGACTATCTTAGAGCTACATGTAAGAGAGCTTCGAAAATCTAGGCCCAGGGCCATGCCAAGACTACATGCCGACTAATTCCACGCACTAGTTGATCCAGTCAGAACATGTATTTACTGTTATTTCTTACACTTGAAACTTACCGGAACCCCATATTTTGTACACAAACTAACATATATTCCAATTGTAAGTTCGTAAGCTTACTACCATATGTTTGAAGTCGCATTATACGTTTGTTGCAGAGACAAAAATTATCGAAAAGCGAAAGAAATTGTTTTACAATGTTTACTTATACACGGATCTGGTTGCATTTAAAAATGAACTGGCATACGTAAGGTAATTACATGTGGTAAATGCACGTATAAAACATAAAATTAAGAGCGGCCTGACCTTGAAGTTTTATAGAAGAATTCGTCAAATATATGCACTAACTGAATTAATCCGTATTTGCCTACTCACCTGTGGTTTGGGATGTTGAGGAGGAAGACGCTGATCATCATCCTGATTCCATGGGCGATGCCAGGAAGACATAGAAGAAAGTAAACCCCTTTCTGATATCTTCCAAACTCCCCCAGGTGCCGCAGAACATCATCGAAGTTCAGTCTCATCTTTATATTCCTATTGCACTCGCGCCGTCCTTCCAAACACTGTCCGGATCATTAAAAGATGATCAAATAATTTCGAACTGCCGATGACCACCGTTGTTGTCTTGGTGTTTGCTTCAATGATTGAGGTTGGTATTGTATCTTTAATGCAAGGCGTTGGAACCACTTGATATATATCCAGCCAATTGCGAGAAGGGACGGGTAGATCCACCGATAAGCGTATCACACGAGAACGGACCCTGATAACCCTATCACCTTTCACACATGGGTGGTGTGTGTGCGTGGAAGATTCTGTCTGGGGACGCTGCTGAAAGGGAAAGTCCCCAGGTCAATGTGCAATCACTACCCTATATGTCACTCTCAACCTAAATGCATATTTTAGGACACACTGTGCAATGTCATATAGAGTGTTATCTGTATACTTCAATTTCAATTCAATCATGATAGCAATTACGATTTTTAACATTTTTGTATTGATCAAAATGTTATAAATATACTGACGCACAAAAGAAAGTATAGACTGATGTTTGAAGATTGCTAAAGATACAACAAACAAGAAATGGTGCATTTGGAAAACAAAATGCAATTATGTTAGTCCTTAAATCTGCTGTACTTCGGAGATTGTTGAGGCTGGAAAGTTTTGGACACTGTTATTTTTCTGTTTTCTGGAGAATTTCACATGAATACTTTCTTTACATGCTATTCCGAAAGTTTTCGTAAAGTATGTGCTGGTTAAAGAAGGCACCAGTCTGCTACTCATTAGTAAAGCCAGTACATTGTACTTATGTTCTTCAAATTAAACGCATTCACTATGAGACCAAACCAACTACAGAGATAATATATTATCGAGAAGCCCGACTGTGGCTTGGAGGATTCATGATAATTGAAGTGTTTGTTTGGTTGCCTTCTTTCCGCGTTGAATCATCTTTGTTGTTTAACGCCACACGCAGCAATATTCAAGCTATATGCCGGCGACCAGTAAATAATCGAGCCTGGACCAGACAATCTAGTGATTGACATCATGAGCATCGATCTACACAACTGGGATATGATGTCATGCATCAACCAAGTCAGCGACCTTACCACCCCATACCGACAAGCCTTTAACAACAAACATGGGTTGCTGAAGACCATTTCTATCCCGGCTCTTCACGGCCCGTGGAATGATGACTGACTGACTGAGTTTGGTTTTACGCCACTTTTAGCAATATTCCAGCAACATCACGTCGGGGGACACCAGAAATGGGCTTCACACATTGTGCCCATGTGGGGATTCGAACCCGGGTCTTCGGCGTGACGAGCCAACGCTTTAACCATTAGGCTACCCCACCGCCCCTCCGTGGAATTATGAAGACATTGTGATGGATAGTGATCCCGATGAGTGAGCATTGACGACACCTGCAGCAACATTCCAGTCACACGACATGGGAAACACGGAGAACTGATGTATACCAATGTTGGGATTTCCATGACAACCTTGTAACATCTATGATGAATGAGTAAAAACAAGTTTGTCTCCCTGAGTTACAGCATTCACTGGTGACTCTCGAGCTCTATGACAGTCGGCCCTTTGAAAGTCACTCATTCAGTACGTTTAAATTCAAATTAGAACGTAGGAAGAAAATCTAAAACAAATTGTGATACTTTGTAAGCGGGAAATAGAAAAAGGCAATAAAAAAGCTGATTAGTGGAAAAGAAGTTTCCAGAAGACGTCCAGATAGTTGATGCGAGAAATAGAAGACGTCCAGATAATTCATGCGTGAACTAACGGAATATTGTAAAGGATCAATAGTGCTAAATGAGAAGTTCAAGATTGTCGTTTGCTAGTCAAGAATGTTCCCGGCCAGGTATCATCTGATGTCCACTCGTTTGTTTAAAATGAACGAGTGAAGTTTTGTTGTTGCACTTTACCGTTCACGTACCTCCCACCACCTAGTAGTTCGTGCGTCTCAGGTTCCACTTCAGTTTCTTCTATTCACTAGCACACAAACGCTGACGCCAAGCATCATGTTACGGATCAAACTTGTGTGAGTAATGTTACTTTTCTGTAGTTCTGTAAAGTATTATAGTCTTCGCCATGATTAGAGGCTATAGTGATTTCCGACGAGGACGCTACAGAAATACATATATGTGGACAGATGACTGTGCATATCTTGAACGTTATAGTCTGGATCGAGCTGGTTGAGGATGACGTATATTCATAATGGCACTTGGTTGTTTACAACAACATAATGCGCATCAACATTTGAGTTGCTATTTAGAGATATTCTGTCTTTGTTTGCGAAAACTTTGTTTGTTTTCTTAGTCATATATTTCATTGAGTGTAAGATTTTAATGGACAAACACGAAAAGAATGGGGTCGTGCTCAGTCATACATCAACGTTTTCAGAACAGTTTTCGTCGACTGTAACAATTCGGTCAGCACGAGCATTGGTTGAGTGGCAGAGTACTAATGCGCATTTAACTTAGGTTTTAGGTCAAAATGAAAAACAGTTATATCTTTATATCTGCATATACCCCGGGGCACATAAGTCTGATCTAAATGAACGTACATATCAATTAATCTGTAATGCTTTGATCGCTGTCCGATATACTAGTTGCTTGCAAAACATACAATCATAGATCAACATCTGATTATTGTTATGAAACGCCATGAGAGCATGTCAGCGTCCGACCTTTCTTCCGAAATATTCCATTCATGGGTGTAGGTCACATTGTTAAACGCACAGAAAAACTCAACGAAACGTTTCGAAACTGTACAAGGTACAACATTCGAGTTACGCTACTTACCACACTATCCCAGCCGTCAACGAGCCTCAGTCCAAGGCCAGCGAGTGTGAACATATGTACAATGGTCAGCGTCCGTGCCCTTGTAAACACACTGATAGATCACTGTCCATGTAGGTATTTATACCTTGACCATGACAAGGACTGCGGTATGGGTAACTGACCTTATCCGCTGTCGCGAACGCTTTCGTAGGCTGCAGTGGAACCACAATGTCAAAGTTACCCGCGGATAAACGCTTGTATTTGTAAGCGTACAAATTTTCAACACAAATCATGGCTGAACGCAGGCATGTTTTAGATTGAATTAATGCTTTAAAGGACCACCACCAAGTATTATGTTAACAGTATATGCCGGCGAAACTAGTGGGTAAAGCGTTGGTTCGTTACTTCAAAACCCCAGGTTCGACTCTGTTTTAGTGAAGCACCTGAATCAAAATGCTTTGTTCCAGCTTTCGAAAACCTCTACTCTGCGTTATTTTACTGTATATTCAAAGGGTGTTGGATGAAAATGTAAACATAGCGGAAGGGGACAAGGCCTAAAGGCTTTCCCAGACCGTTAGTGTCTACACTTTTACCCAAACCCGAGGGATAAATGTTTAATGTATCCTAACATGTAACCGAAAATCTTACACAACATATACTCACAATTTTATGTTTCGACCACACGTATTTGACCTTTAGGAAACGGGCATACAATGGCTCTTGCTGACGCACATGTACTTGAAATAGGAATTGTCATTGGGTTGTGGTTCGTAAGCGCCACTGAATCCAGGTGGTTCACGCACTATAAATAAAAGTACGAAGGTTTTCAAGATTAGTCCTAATGAAATATAAGACCAACCTTTACTTTCATTTGAATAATTCCAAACATTCCGTCTGTAAAGTGTGTTCCTAAATTGTTCCTTAACGGTTTCATTCTCATCCACCCTGAGTTTCTCCATGTTTACATCAAGCAACACAACATCCACCCTGATTCCGTCCACAGTTACATCAGGCAACACAACATCCACCCCGATTCAGTCCACATTTACACCAAGCAACACAACATCCACCCCGATTCAGTCCACATTTACAACAGGCAACACAACACCAGCCTTGATTCAATCCACATCTACATCAAGCAACCAACATGATTCAGTCCACATTTACATCAAGCACAATACATTTACAACGCAGGCAACAGTCAACATCCACCTGATTCAATCCACATTTAGCAACTTCATCCACCTTGATTCAGTCAAAGCAACACAACATCCCTGATTCAGTCCACATTTACATCAGGCAACACAACATCCACCCTGATTCAGTCCATATTTACATCAAGCAACACAACATCCACCCTGATTCAGTCCACATTTACATCAAGGCAACACAACATCCACCTCCTGATTCAGTCCTATCATCCCACCCTGATTCAGTCCACATTTACATCAAAACACAACATCCACCCTGATTCAGTCCACATTTACATCAAGCAACATACAACATCCACCTTGATTCAGTCCACATTTACATCAAGCACACACAACATCCACCACTGATTCACAACATCCACATTTACATCAACATTTACACAACATCAACCATCCACCTGATTCAGTCCACATTTACATCAGGCAACACAACATCCAACCTGATTCAGTCCACATTTACATCAAACAACACAACATCCACCCTGATTCAGTCCACATTTACACCAAGCAACACACAACATCTGATTCAGTCCACATTTACATCAGGCAACCTAACAACCTGATTCAATCCACATTTACATCAAGCAACACAACATCAAGCAATTCAGTCCACATTTACATCACCAACACAACATCCAACCTGATTCAGTCCACATTTACATCAAGCAACACAACATCCACCCTGATTCAGTCCACATTTACATCAAGCAACACAACATCCACCCTGATTCAGTCCACATTTACATCAAGCAACACAACATCCACCCTGATTCAGTCCACATTTACAACAGGCAACACAACACCAACCTGATTCAATCCACATTTACATCAAGCAACACAACATCCACCCTGATTCAGTCCACATTTACATCAAGCAACACAACATCCACCCTGATTCAGTCCACTTTTACAACAGGCAACACAACACCAACCTGATTCAATCCATATTTACACCAAGCAACACAACATCCACCCTGATTCAGTCCACATTTACATCAAGCAACACAACATCCACCCTGATTCAATCCACATTTACATCAAGCAACACAACATCCACCCTGATTCAGTCCACATTTACATCAAGCAACACAACATCCACCCTGATTCAGTCCACATTTACATTCAGTCAATTTACATCAACACACACATCCACCCTGATTCAGTCCACATTTACAACAAAACAGCAACACAACATCCACAACATCCTGATTCAATCCACATTTACATCAAACAACACAACATCCACCCTGATTCAGTCCACATTTACATCAAGCAACACAACATCCACCCTGATTCAGTCCACATTTACATCAGGCAACACAACATCCACCCTGATTCAATCCACATTTACATCAAGCAACACAACATCCAATCTGATTCAATCCACATTTACATCAAGCAACACAACATCCACCCTGATTCAATCCACATTTACATCAAGCAACACAACATCCAATCCCTGATTCAGCAACACCACATTTTCACATCAAAGCAACACAACATCCACCCTGATTCAGTCCACATTTACATCAAGCAACACAACATCCACCCTGATTCAGTCCACATTTCACCTGATTCAGTCCACACTTACAACAGGCAACACAACACCAACCTGATTCAATCCATATTTACACCAAGCAACACAACATCCATCCTGATTCAGTCCACATTTACATCAAGCAACACAACATCCACCCTGATTCAGTCCACATTTACATCAAGCAACACAACATCCACCCCTGATTCAGTCCACAGTTACATCAGGCAACACAACATCCACCCTGATTCAGTCCACATTTACATCAAGCAACACAACATCCACCCTGATTCAGTCCACATTTACATCAGGCAACACAACATCCACCCTGATTCAGTCCACATTTACATCAAGCAACACAACATCCACCCTGATTCAGTCCACATTTACATCAGGCAACACAACATCCACCCTGATTCTATCCATATTTACATCAAGCAACACAACATCCACCCTGATTCAGTCCACATTTACAACAGGCAACACAACATCCACCCTGATTCAGTCCACATTTACGTCAAGCAACACAACATCCACCCTGATTCAGTCCACATTTACAACAGGCAACACAACATCCACCCTGATTCAATCCATATTTACATCAAACAACACATCCACCCTGATTCAATCCATATTTACATCAAACAACACAACATCCACCCTGATTCAATCCATATTTACATCAAACAACACAACATCCACCCTGATTCAATCCATATTTACATCAAACAACACAACATCCACCCTGATTCAATCCATATTTACATCAAGCAACACAACATCCACCCTGATTCAGTCCACATTTACATCAGGCAACACAACATCCACCCTGATTCAGTCCACATTTACGTCAAGCAACACAACATCCACCCTGATTCAATCCACATTTACAACAGGCAACACAACATCCACCCTGATTCAATCCACATTTACATCAAGCAACACAACATCCACCCTGATTCAATCCATATTTACATCAAACAACACAACATCCACCCTGATTCAATCCATATTTACATCAAACAACACAACATCCACCCTGATTCAATCCATATTTACATCAAACAACACAACATCCACCCTGATTCAATCCATATTTACATCAAACAACACAACATCCACCCTGATTCAATCCATATTTACATCAAACAACACAATACCAACTCTGATATCTTTCTGTTTACATCAGTCAACACAACATCCATCCTGATTCTCCCAATAGTTTCCATCAATCAACACGCCGCCATATTGGAATATTGCTGAGTGCGGCTAAAAACTAAACTCACTCACTCCTCACTCACTCATCAATCAACACAAGAGTCATTAAGCTTTACCCGATGCTTGCATCACCCAAATTTACAGGAGTGTACCATGGCACACTACGTTCACTCTGATTCATTCATAGTTTCCCCGGGTAAGATCCGGATACTAACTAGTTCTTTGGCATACCACAGAAAGGAATCGTGTGATCCGGCTTGCGTACATCGATGCTCATTATGTCAATCACTGGATAATTGAAAACTGTATTATACGTATTAACTTAATTAATTTCCTTACTGTATCCACAAGTTATGTGTTGAGGGTTATTCATAACAATGTTTGTGATGAACTTGAATAATTTAACATTCACAAACACGTCTGAAGCCTGAAACTAATACGTATACCACTCACCTTCTCACCAGCATGGTCATGGTCAATGATATCGCCGGGGGCGCCCCTTCAGCTGGTGGTATGTTTACCAGGTTCCCAAGCATGTGTTGCAGTTTAGGACAGTCCATATATCGGTGTAATGTTCCAGTAAGTGTATAAATGTGTCAGTCACGTTGTTCTAGGTTGGTGTAGTTGTTTGTTGTTGTGTTTTTTTTAAAAAAGAAGAATATAAGACCTGTATCAGCTGAGGTTGATGAATAGCTTTCTTGTGTAAGAAACCTCCTTGAGAATGGAAAACGCGAAGAATCCACCTGATTATAAATAATTGTGTATGAAGTGCAGTGTAACCAAATATTCCGTGTTTTGATCCATTTAACGTTCATATCATGATATCAGTTAATGAATGATAAATACCACGAACTGCAGACATCATTATTAGAGTGAGTGAGTGAGCGAGTTTACGCCGCTTTTAGCAATTTTCCAGCAATATCATGGCGGGGGACACCAGAAATGGGCTTCACACATTGTACCCATGTGGGGAATCGAAACCGGACCTTGGGCGTGACGAACGCTTTAATCACTAGGCTACCCCACCGCCCCATCAGTATTATAACAGGTGATATCAGTTCCAAGTCTCCTTGAAATATTTGAATGACGGGATCAGGCGGTCAGGCTCGCTTACTTGTTTGGTGCATGTCATAGTATCCCAAGTGCGTAGATTGATGCTCATGTTGACATTCACGGGATTGTCTGATCCAGATTCCATTATTTACAGACCACAGTCATAAGTTAAAATCAACTTATAAAGGCAGAAAAAAACCGTTGTGTCGAAGTTGAAGGGACGAACGAAATACTTCGAGTTATCTGGGGTTCGCCCAACCGTAAAATGGTGACTAAAGAAGGAATATGCAGGGCTAAGCTTTTACTTCGAGGAAGTTGTACGTTCGACGCATCAAGGTTCGACACAACGGTGTGTATATAGTAAATGAGATCCTACCAGGTCAATGTAATCAGTCACTGTCGGGCCGAGCAGGGCGCCTGGGAAGGAGACGAACACTGTGAGAGCGAGGCATCCTACAGCCTCTGTGAAGAGAATTAATGAATTGGGAAAACGACGGCGAACTGATATCCGGTAATTAGGCTGCTTCAACGGGACGTCCTCTGTTTTTGTACATCATTGGCTGATTCCGCTGTACATTTCACATACGTAACATTTCTTTTTTAGTTTCTGTGTCTGTGAAAATCTGGGTTAGAATTGATCTTCAGCAACCCATGCTTGTCCTAAAAGGTGACTAACGGGATCGGGTGCTCAGGCTCGATGACTTGTTGACACATGTCATCGGTTCCCAGATGCTCATGATGTCAGTCACTGAACTGTCTGGTCCAGACTTGATTATTTACAGACAAGCGCCATGTAGCTGGAATATTGCCGAGTGCTGTGTTACACAACAAACGAAACATCCAGCTACAAGCAATTGCGTTTGTTTTGGTAAGTTGTACATTCCGTTCGGCTCAAAAGCGGACAGATGAATTGCAGTCTAACTCGAAAACTAATAAACATATAATATTCAATGAAACGCTGATCATAATCAAAACATTAGACCAACTCTGTGAGATTTTTGCAGAATTTAAGTTCTAAAAATACAAAGGTTGTTTAACAAACTATCATTAGATTATGACAGTTCACTATTTGTACAGTTCATTCTGATCTTTTGTTGCGATAGGTAGTACATGTATATTCAACGGCTTTCCATGAAGGTCAAATTAGGACTGTCCACATTGTAGTGTATCACCGAGTTTAGTCATTAATGTTACATTAAAACAGGATGAGCAAGAAAACAGGTCAGATTTACAATGAAATATTCGTGGAGATGTATATTCTTGTTGAAACCACTGCTTAAACGTTATGTCGGACGCACGATCTTATTTTATGTTTTTGTTATTTATGGAATCCTTTTTCTTCAATATTTTTCTGAAACATGAATATTACAGGGAGAGGCATTTAAGATACATTGCTATGTCAAACTTCAATAAATGATATGTAAAACAATATTCACTCACTTGAAGGGCGGGGAACCCGGGTCTTCGGCGTGACGAGCGAACGCTTTAACCTCTGGGCTACCCGTACGCCCCCTATAGTCTTTGATGAAACAATGTTTCTTCATCACGAGGGACACGTGCCCGGTGCGTACAAAGGCTTTGGTAGATTGTGTTTTTTTTAAAATTATGTTAAAGTACAAGTACAAAACATAATACATATAACACAAAGGCAATTCTCATCAACCTCGCTTGATTCAATCAAATGTACTTTTATAATCCCAAACACATGGCTTCACAAGGTTGGCACACAATGAACATATAATACAAAAATGTGTACTGTTGTTCTTAAAGCATGGTCCTAAAAAGAATGATTACAAATGACTGCCAGATATGTACATGTTAATATGCCCCGCATCGTGTGCTGTAAATACAATAATTATATAAATGAACAATGATTTAAATAATCTTCACAAATATACACACAGACACACACTCACTCATCCTCTCTCTTAACCCCAGGCACACACACAAAAACGTAACACTTGTACTGTCAAAACCTCCAGTCACAAAAGCAGTTCACCTCCTAAACACAATACTAGGCAATAGAAATACCTGTTAGCAGAGGTCTTGATGAATGGAAATTGGTCGTCGTTATTTTAGAGAAATACTTTATGACGGCGATGTACAGTAAGAACAATAATTTTGAACAGTTTCAGATTGTTTACCTTAAACAATCTATCATATCAATCTCAGAAACTAAATCATCGCCTGGTACACGGGTTGAAGAGAAGGGGGGCTATATGAGGTGAGGTGAGGTGAGGTGAGGTGAAATTGGGTTTTACATCGTGCTGAGAATATTTCGCTCATATGACGACGTGCATGCGTGTGTATGTGTATGTGCGGCTGCTTGTACTAGCCCAGACTGAAGCTGGTTTTATAGTGCTAGCCCACTGAGATACCATGCCGCAGTGAAGCATGAATACCCCACTCAGACACATTATACTGACTCCGAGCCCATTAATGCCGAGCGCCTTTTGTTTATCATATGGTATGTGGTTATAGCGGAGACTCAACTCACCGTTTAAGACTCGTAAACAGATATTAGTGACTTACAACTAACATGTGTATCAAGTTTGTTATACTCTATTTGTACACACCCTCATTGTTATATAATGACACGTGTTTCGTATTCACCCCAGGAGAATGTATCTGATGCATTTGTTTTATAGACAATATGTTTAGATGACCTGGTCAACGAATAATTTATGAGATCCCTTGTGTCGATAGAGACAATTCATGTGTGAATTCATATGATCATAAACAACATAAACATAACATCTGTATGTTATAATACAGACTCAAGCACTCCTCAATCACACTGACTGACTGAGTTTGGTTTTACGCCGCTTTTAGCAATACTCCAGCAACATCACGGCGGGGGACACCAGAAATCGGCTTCACACATTGTACCCATGTGGGGATTCGAACCCGGGTCTTCGGCGTGACGAGCCAACGCTTTAACCACTAGGCTAAAACACACACACACACACACACACACACACACACTCAATCACACACACACACACACATACACTCAATCACAGCCACACATTGGATGTTAGAGATTGTAGTGCTACATGATATATGTTTATGTACAGCACGTCAGCTGTGCAGTTGGTGATGATATGTACAAGTGTCTATGACTACATAGATCATGTGTGACCTATTATTATTAGATGTCAGTCCATGAAGAACCATCCTTAGCTTGAGAGCAGGGGCTGGTTGACGCTGGGTGATGCTTCTGTCCCTTCTGGATCAGCGTTCTTCAGGCGGGAATAAGGGCTTTTCCTGAAAACAGTTTGTGCAGGTCACCAGCATTTCACATACATTAGACAGCATTAAAAGCAAGAAGACCTCACGTTGAGACGTCAACACTGCGTTTGAGTTCGTGAGTGAGTGAGTGAGTATGTTTTACACCGCATTTAGCAATATTCCAGCAATATAACGGCGGGGGACACCAGAAATGGCCTTCACACATTGTACCCATGTGGGGAATCTTCAGCGTGACGGGTGAACGCTTTAGCCACGAAACTCTCTCAGCAGATCAAACAGCTTACTGTACGAAAACCCTCTTCCATACTGTCCAACTGACAGGACTCTGCCATGCATCTCAAAGATCTCAGCCAGATTTCAATCATGCTACCTTGCTAATAAACCTCAGCCAATTACCTTACTCTGATACCTCAGCCATGTTACCTTACTCTGATACCCTCAGCCATGTTACCTTACTCTGATACCTCAGCCATATTACCTTACTCTGATACCTCAGCCATATTACCTTACTCTGATACCTCAGCCATATTACCTTACTCTGATACCTCAGCCATATTACCTTACTCTGATACCTCAGTCATATTACCTTGATACTCTGATACCTGATACCTCAGCCATATTACCTTACTCTGATACCTCAGCCATATTACCTTACTCTGATACCTCAGCCATATTACCTTACTGATACCTCAGCCATGTTACCTTACTCTGATACCTCAGCCATGTTACCTTACTCCTGATACCTCAGTCATATTACCTTAGCCATGTTACCTTTACCTCCGATACCTCAGCCATATTACCTTACTCTGATACCTCAGCCATATTACCTTACTCTGATACCTCAGCCATGTTACCATATTACCTCAGCCATACTCTCTGATACCTCAGCCATATTACCTTACTCTGATACCTCAGTCATATTACCTTACTCTGATACCTCAGCCATATTACCTTACTCTGATACCTCAGCCATATTACCTTACTCTGATACCTCAGTCATATTACCTTACTCTGATACCTCAGCCATGTTACCTTACTCTGATACCTCAGCCATGTTACCTTACTCTGATACCTCAGCCATGTTACCTCTGATACTCTGATACTCTGATACCTCAGCCATGTTACCTTACTCTGATACCTCAGCCATGTTACCTTACTCTGATACCTCAGCCATGTTACCTTACTCTGATACCTCAGCCATGTTACCTTACTCTGATACCTCAGCCATGTTACCTTACTCTGATACCTCAGCCATGTTACCTTACTCTGATACCTCAGCCATGTTACCTTACTCTGATACCTCAGCCATGTTACCTTACTCTGATACCCTCTGATACCTCAGTCATGTTACATATTACCTTACTCTGATACCTCAGCCATGTTACCTTACTCTGATACCTCAGCCATGTTACCTTACTCTGATACCTCAGCCATGTTACCTTACTCTGATACCTCAGCCATATTACCTTACTCTGATACCTCAGCCATGTTACCTTACTCTGATACCTCAGTCATGTTACCTTACTCTGATACCTCAGCCATGTTACCTTACTCTGATACCTCAGCCATGTTACCTTACTCTGATACCTCAGTGATACATGTTACCTTACTCTGATACCTCAGCCATCAGCCATGTTACCTTACTCTGATACCTCAGCCATATTACCTTACTCTGATACCTCAGCCATGTTACCTTACTCTGATACCTCAGCCATGTTACCTTACTCTGATACCTCAGTCATGTTACCTTACTCTGATACCTCAGCCATGTTACCTTACTCTGATACCTCAGCCATGTTACCTTACTCTGATACCTCAGCCATATGTTACCTTACTCTGATACCTCAGCCATGTTACCTTACTCTGATACCTCAGCCATGATACCTCAGCCATGTTACCTTACTCTGATACCTCAGCCATGTTACCTTATTCTGATACCTCAGCCATGATACCTTACTCTGATACCTCAGCCATGTTACCTTACTCTGATACCTCAGTCATATTACCTTACTCTGATACCTCAGTCATATTACCTTACTCTGATACCTCAGCCATGTTACCTAATGGATCTCAGGCAGGTATCTTCCTTAACACTGGGCACACCTTAACACTATACCTCTGTCAGTAATTCATTGTAAAGGCACTAAAGTCAGTAATTAATTGTAATGGCACTAAAGTCAATGTGGGGTACGCTCGATTGAAAGGATTGCATATTTCAGACGCTTTGCGACAAGTAGCCGTCTCAACGTTGTGATACAGAAAAGCAGACCCAATGCACTGTATTCACCGGTATGCATGATATCTTCTGAAATATGATACTGACTAGCTAAAGTGATCCTTGTACATGACAACAGGTGCAGGTATATATACAAGTTGGTGGAAGCTCACGATCGATTTATACATGAGCTACGAGCCTACGATTGAGACTATTGTGATAATCATTGCATTCAATATCATGAAAAGATGATATGGTAGTTCTGTGTATATGGTTGTTGATTAGTTATTCACCAACCTGCTGAAGTTCCTGGCATCTTCTATAGTCTCTGGCAGATCTCTGTTGAGAGTTTCTGGTAGAGTAAGATCGAGAAGACCCGCCATAACAGACAGAACTCCGAACATAAGAAGAGGTAACGCCCGCCCCCACTTCCCCTCCACCTCTTTACCCTGGAAACAAAGATGGAGGATTACAGCCCTACATGTCTGGATAAACGGGTTCCTTTCGATAGTGCAAACAAACTGCTTCAAAGGAAATCCGTTAATTAAGATTGTAATCTTTCTAGTGAGATTTTGTTTTTGTTACAAACCTTCCAAAAGTAGTAGCTCCCGAAGCCTGGACTAACGGGAGAGTACGATGCTACTGTTGAGTATGCTTTGTTTATAAACTCATATTTCCACACTAACATCACAATAAGACAGGTTTGTGTGTTAGGAAATCAGAAGTGATCCAGGTTTAAGAAGTCTACACCTTTGATGAAACCTGTTCAAACTGTAAATAATTTCATGATTCTGGCGAGGTCTAAGGGACGTAGCTCGTCCCCCTTGACTGCTGTTTCCCCGATCGTGATGATGGAGTGAGTTTAGTTTTACGCCGCTTTTAGCAATATTCCAGCACTATCACTGCGGGTGATAAATGGGCTTCACACATTGTGCCCATGTGGGATTCGAACCCGGGTCTTTGGCGTGACGAACGAATGCTTTAACCACTAGGTTACCCCACCGCCCCTCGTGATATTGGAAGTGTCAGTTGTTAGATTGGGTTCATCGTTGGTTTACGGTTGTTCTAATGGCGGGGTGGAGGTTAAATTGTTAACGGCTGTTGCAGAGCAATGGGGTAGGAGTAGATGTATTTCAGACGACTTGAGCACCTCCGACCCCTTTGAGGATATGTTACGTAATAGACTAAAACTTGTGTGAAGTTCAACAGAGTTAGTGAGTGAGTGAGTATGGCTTTACGGCGGGGGGCACCAGAAATGGGCTTCACACATTGTAACCATGTGGGGAATAGAACCCGGGTCTTTGGCGTGACGAGCGAATGCTTTAACCACTAGGCTGCCCCACCGCCCTTCACCAGTGTTAACTGGAACCCTTGTTTCGAGATGATAGTTAACACTTATCAGGTCTATGAAGTAAAGGACCACCAAACACACATGCACATGCACACGCACAGGCACCTACCAGGTCTATGAAGTAAGGGGCCAACATGCCGCCTATCCTGGCAAAAGACGAGCTGAGGCCTAGTGCTGAACTCCGTACAACAGTCGGGAAGATCTCTGTTGAGTACACAAACACCACACCGAATCCGCCCGCGACACACATCTTCCCAATCATTGACAGTGTGACTGTGCTCCACTGGTTGGCTGTGGAATAAAACGTGTTGTCTGTTATACATCCATTCTTTTGTGATAACAGAAAAAAACCCAGTAAAACCATTTTTGTAACTCCGCAAGAGAGCGTAATTTTTTTTACACGCAGATACGTATTTTAGTTTATTGTCAATAGAACATTTATCTGAATGTCTTCATTAACGGATATATAGAGAATCTCACCCAAGTGTCTTCTGATATCAAATATATCAACACGAGTTGATTAAAGTTACACATATTTTTACAATAATCAACGAGTGTTGATATATTTGATAATCAGAAGACGCGAGGGTGAGATTTTATTTATCATCAAAAGCATTCTTCATCATTTATCAGTAAAAGAATGAATTTATCTGAACAAAAAAACTTCCATTAGGATTCTTGAGCAGTGACCTCAGTGAGGTCATAGCATTGTGACGTCATCAACTTTATGACATCATAGCATTGTGAGGTCATTAACTGATAATGTAATAGCATTATGACGGTTAAATTGTTGCGATATAGTATGACCAGAAATTATTGAGAATTTTAGGAATGTTTAATCGGATTTCTAGTATAAACAACCTTGACCAGCTATCAAGTGCTTGGTTTCATTCAAGAGAGACAACTCCGTTAATCCTTTTTCATTAGTTTGTGAAGAGTTATCCCCCTTTGTTTACTTACTAGCAGAGGTCATTTTCAGTGATCCTCAGTATGGATGATTTAGAGAAGAGGAAGTTGATTTTAGAGTAGTATAACAAGGACATCAGATCAGCTAAAGTGATTTCAAGTAGAACAGGCATCCCTTTGTCCACTGTTTATCGTATTTTGAAAAATATTGCAAATGGATATGGCATTGAGCACCAGGGAGGCGCAGGTAGGCCCAGAAATATTGACTGTCGGTGACAGGAGGCGGCTTGGTATTCTTGTTTCTAAAAACAAACGAAGGAGTTTAGAAAACTTAAGGCTGGATATGATTGATAGAGGAACTGTGGCTGTCTGTAAGGAGACAATTAGAACTGAGCTGCATGCAATGGGTTCGCAGAAAAGTCGAGGAATTCCATCACCGATCATGAAACCTGAACAAAAGGAGCGAAGGTTGAACTGGTTCGTACAGCATAGAAATTTTAACTGGGACAATGTGATTTTCTCAGATGAAAGTTCTGTGTAGCTGTTTTCTAATACACTGAAATTCTGGACCAAACAAACTGAAGAACCTTTGTATCAGCGCCGAAAGTACAGTGCGAAATTTAACGTGTGGGTTGGCATATCTGTGATAGGGGAACGCCCCTCTGTGTATTTGAAGGGGATATGAACAGTGAACGGTGTTCAGATATTCTCGAGGGACATTTACTTCCATCTGCTCACGTGTTCTATGGAAATTTCTGGATTTTCCAGCAGGGGAACGATCCAAAACATCGTTCAAAGCATTCACAGGCCAGGTTTCGGACCCCAAATATGACATCATTAGATTGACCAAGCTATAGCCCTGACCTAAATCCAATAGAAAATGTTTGGGGACTTATGAAGGAAAGTGTCAATAAGAAAAATCTGACAAATATTGCTGAAATGAAAGAAGAGGTGGTCCGATATTGGGACAGCATGGACCACGACTTTCTAACTTCTTTGATCAGTAGTATGCCCCGCCGCATTGAAGCCTGCACTGCTGCCCATGGTGACTTGACAAAATACTAACTGTTCACCTGTCTTTGAATCTGGTGTTATGTTCTGCTAATATTCACATTTAATAGGTGAGTAATGAGTGAAAAAAATATAAAAAATTACAATCTTAAATTCTCAATCATTTCTTGTTGTACTGTATCTACAATCTTGAAAGCGTCCCAGCTAAGACAGATCCGACAGAAGTTAGGACATCCTACCGTTAGGATAAGACGATCCTATCCCTGTCCTAACTTGAGCTACCTATCTAGCTAGGGTAGCGAGCTCTTCAGTAGTCGAGATAGAAAAACCTTCATCAAGTTGGGCATTACCCTAAATATTACCCATGATTCATTGCACGAAAACACTTCTATTAAGGACACCTAAAATCTTGTTTACAAGATAAATGGAAAGACTAGAAATCAAAGTAAAAAGCTTGAGAGACGGTGAAATTCAGCTTTGGTGGACTCAGTAGATCCAGGAGGAAACATCATAGTTAAAATCAAAGTTAATATCTTGTGTTCAGAAAATTAGAGTGAACTCGTACTGGAATAGATTTAAAATATTTAAATGAGATTTTTTAATATCTATTTCTTCGAATTACCATACTTCCAGAAAAAAGTACTAGTATTGTATTATTCATCATTTTATCATGAATCATAATGAAGTTTGTGAAATTAATTTATTCAACAAGGAGATAAATTGTTTATTTCAGAGTTTGAAAGTCTGCCCAAAAAGCTAGATGTGTGCAAAACATATTTTCATTTTATTTATTTCGGTAAGAATTGAACAAATCTCTTTTGTAGGTCTAAATATCGCGATGGAGGACACCAGAAATGGTCTCTACACATGGTACCCATGTGGGGAAACGAACTCGGGTCTTCGACGTGACGAACGCTTTAACCACTAGGCTGCCCCACCAACCCAAGAAATACAAGAACCGTATGTCGCACCATCGTCCACATATAAAATAGTGATGACTGAAAGTATACAGGCAGCGCCCCCTAGCGTCATGAAGGCACACAGTAGTGCTTTCCTCCCGATTCTGTTCATGAGCAGCAGACAGAGGAGGTTGGCTGGGTACTCCACCAGACAGGCCAACATCGAGTTGAGGTGCAGGCTGCCGGCACCAAGGTTGTCCGTGTTGGACGACAGACCGAAGTAGGCAAGACTCACTGTCATCCTGAAACATACCATTACCGAAATTAAGTTTAATTGTTTGTTAACGCCGCACTCAGCAATATTCAGCTACATGAGGGTGGTTTGTGAATGGTGATGATGTGTCCGAACAATTCTGTGATTGACATCATTTATTGTCTGTCTGTCTGTTAACGATGCACTCAGCAATATTCAGCTACATGGGGGGTTGTTTGTAATGTTGGGATTGAACTCATGAACAAAGCCATTGTGGTGCCATTAAATTACTAAAAAAATTCAAAGAGGTGCCCAATCATTCATTGACTGGAAATTATGGAACTTCTTACCAGGAGTAAAACAGTACGACTGTTCTGAAGAATAACGTCCTGTGTGTGAATAACTGCAAGATGTTGGTTTTGGGCATTTTCAGTTTGGCATCCATGTCTTCCTTTTCAAACTGCAGAGCACTGTCAGGTATTGTGACCTTGTTGACACGTGCAGCGTGACGTATAATCATTTCCGCTTCCTCCAACCGGAAGACGTTGAGCAGCCATCTTGGTGACTCAGGGATTATCCTGATCGAAGTCGACAATTAGAATTTTGAAGCTTACAATATATATCTGATAACAAACCAGTTTACTTCTGTATAAATCAGGCTAAATGATAATTTTAATTGAGGCTATTCAGGTAAACGTTGAAGACAAAACGATGAGGTTTGATAAGCTTGTTACAATATCATTCACTTGTACGCCACCCTTCTTACCGCCTTGGTCTTCAAAGGACGTCAAACCACTCCACTTGATCGTGGGCTCGAGACCAGTGCTCAAATGTTGCACCAAACTGGTTTGTGTCTACGAACTGCATCACGTTGTGGTTTGTCCACATAAAGATCACATGCCCGGGTGTAACTAAACTCCCTTGCATATAGGCTTTTAATTTAGGGCACTCGCACATTTCTTATACTGTGAACACGTATAATACATAAAGCCGACCTACCACCAGTATATCAGGAAGACTGCCACAGGTGTCGCCATGACCAGCTCCAGAGTGTGCCAGTCTCGGATGAAGAAGGCCACTCCCGTTAACAGGGCATAGCCACTGGTGAAGAAGAATAGGATGATGATGCCGGCCAACGCCCGTTTAGAAGGACCAACAAATTCCATGCCTAAAATACAGAGGGAAAGATGGGGGGATTATGTCGTAGAAAGACAATTTAAATTCCATACCTAAGGTAAACAGGGGAAGATCCTGGATTATGTCGAAGAAGAACCAACAAACGCCATATCTACCACTTAGAGAAAGATGGGGTGTTTACGTCATCGAGGAAGAGTCGTGGTCAAAGGGTTATGGTCGGCTCATGACAAGCATGAGGTATGGGACATTTTCTATCAAAGAAGCCCACCGTGACAGATACTGGACACACTTGTAGTCCCATTTTTAGCAGTGTCTAACGACAAGCAACTGGATGTTCCTGTCTTTCTCTGTCGATGGAACCCACTTGGAAGAAGCATCAACGAAGGCTAAAACCAACTTGGTTTGATTTGGTCTCTTTGGCGATGGTTTCACTTCAGTCTTGATTCTGGTTTGAATATTTCGCATTTTACAACAAGTCATGTCTTACACGTCCTTCTCTTGTGTCTGGATTGCTACGAGACGTTACTTTATGCACACAACAGCACGCATGCCACCCCACTTTACATTTAACTAAATGTCAGGGAAATGGTATATGGACATGAGTAAGTATGGTTTTACACCGCTTTTAGCAATATTTCACCAATATCACGGCGGAGGACATCAAAAATGGGCTTCACACATTGTACTTATGTGGGGAATTGTGACGAGCGGACGCTTTAACCATCAGCCCACCCCCACCGCCCCCACAAGAAATTTATGCAGAACATACCAATCACGAAGCAAATGGTGTACATCCCCGCAGTACTGGCGCCGTTGATGAAGCGGAATACAACAAAGAGGGCGTAGCTGTTAGCCCAGTTCAGAGCAAGACCACCAGCAAATAGGATCGCAATAGAAAGGAACAGCGCTTTCCGTCGCCCGAACCTGGGAACAGAGACTGTGTGTAAGGCACTTTCGTTTACATTTACCCATCCGTGGTTGGTTGGTTGGTTGGTTGGTTTGTTGGTTGGTTGGTTTGTTGGTTGGTTGGTTGGTTGGTTGGTTGGTTGTTTAACGCCGCACTCAGCATTATTCCACCTATATGGCGGCGGTCTGTAAATAATCGAGTCTGGACCAGACAATCCAGTGATCAACAGCATGAGCATCGATCTATGCAACTGGAAGACGATGGCATGTGTCAACCAAGTCAGCGAGCCTGACCATCCGATCCCGTTAGTCGGTTCTTACGACAAGCATGGGTTACTGGTGACCAATTTTAACCCGGAACCTCACAGGTCCATGCTTTGCGAGTTAGAGGAATACCACTGACTGCATATTTTTATAGCTTGGTGTACGTTTCTTTTTTAAAAAGAAGGCTACTTTTCGGAAAGGATATAGTGTATAAAATGTGTCAAAAATTGGGTTTCTTTGTGTTATCGGAGGCTTCGGCTAAACCGGTAGTAAATGATGTAAAACGGCGAGGAGGTTTAACTTTGTAGTGTTTAAAATCACATATTACTCATTACTAAGTCTTTCTCTATTTTGAACTAAATGTAATGACAGGAGGAACACTTTTATATGGATAGACAGCAGCTTTACTGCAATAGCTGCTACGTGTCGGTGTAGATGCTAACACCGTTATCAGGCAAGTGACTGAGTATGGTTTTAAGCTGCATTTATTATCAAGCAAATGAGAATGGTATTAGCATCTGGATCGAAACCGCTATAAAGAAGCTGTCTATCCACCTAAACAAATTCTGCATCATACCAGCTTCCAAATGCGACTTAAAGAAGTCAAATGTAAGGCGTCATAGCAGGTTTGTTTGCCTGAGTGTATCACATAGAATGGTATATCTATTCATTTTTCTTCAGTCATATGTAATTAATTTGTTCAATGTAAAATCACCATGCGGCGGAAACAGAAGCCACACATATTGTCATGTCGGAATTATTTACCAGTGAAACTGAGAATTAATTACCTGTCTCCCAGGGCACCGAATATAAATGCTCCCGCAAAATATCCCCCCATGAAGATCATCTGTGCGTTGGAGGACTGCATGGAACTGTTGCAGACCATGTTTAGCTGTAGGGAAACAATGGTTCTAGTGGAGGGATTATACTCATTAATTGTTGCTTGATATAATAAAAAACAAAGACGAAGTACATGCAGTTTTAAGCAATATTAAAGATGTATACTCTTGAAACAAATACACGAAAATGTAGTAAAATTGGAAATATCTGACTGCTTATGGCTCATATGAATACCAAATATGAATGCTAAATATGAATTTCGCATGTTTGCATGCATTGGGAGAAATTTATGCGAGTTGAATGAAGTACAGGCAAAAAATTACCGAAAAAGTGGGGAAAACGCAAGAAGGCAACCACGTGGCGGCCCAGAACAGCAACATGAAATGAACGTGCAACATGATGGGTTTTCATTTGTCTGACATCACAATCGTACAGCAAGTGAAAAGTGAAACATGCCACGACTGACATGCTGAGCGAAAACAACGCCATCTGCCGAATGCAGATAAATGACGCGGCTTCGGCTGTCGCCAGGGTTTTCCATTTTGTGACGAGCACCATTACAAGGCGAGTTAACACGTGACCTATTCAGATCCAGTCGACCACGTGTCGGAATCGCAGCACAGAACAGATTCATACGGGTTCGTCACAAAAGTGATACTCTCACCACGGTCACCTCTACGGCAATACCAGGATTGCGTAGGGTTTAAGTCCTGACAGTGAGAAACCATCTACGCGCCTCAAGCATTGCCCGAGACGACCGGTTCGAGGCGTCATTCTGACAGATCACCATCGTTGGCTGCGACGTCATTGATGTCAAGGACATAGAGTATTGCCACAATAGCGATGGCGACGAGTTTGGTTTATTGACCAGTCACGTTTTGCCTCTCAGTACAGACGGAAGACGTCGTGCAGAACGTTATGCTTGAAACTGGACACGTTTGGTGGCGTGAGTGTAATGATGTGGGACGCCATCTTTCATAGTGAGTGAGTGAGTTGGATTTTACTCCGCCTCTAGCAATATTCCAGCAATATCACGGCGGGGGGACACCAGAAATGGGCTTCACACATTGTATGTACCTATGTGGGGAATCGAACCCGGGCCTTCGGTGTGACGAGCGAACGCTTTAACCACAAGGCTACCCCACTAATCCCATCTTTCATACAGGAGTACAGACTTGGTACACGTCCAGGGTTGGTTGGTTGGTTTGGTGTTTAACGCCGCACTCAGCAATATTCCATCTATATGGAGGTGGTGTGTAAATAATCTTGTCTGGACTAGACAATCCAGTGATCAACAGCATGAGCATCGATCTACGCAATACACGTCCAGGGAAATTTAACGGCACAACGAAGCACAGATGACATTCGACGGCCACACGCCCTTCCCATTATACAACAAGCGAACGTCATGTTTCAACACGACAACGCCCTACTTCACACGGCATTAGCTTCAAACCGACCAGGTCACACGTTGTTCCCAAGCGAACGTAACTTGGTTACAGGTTACAGCGTTACAGTCATACGCAGGGCTTACCTCTGTGGCAGCGGTTGACTGGAACACGGACTTGTCGTACACCCATCTGTTGCACCCTATGATGGTCCTGTTGGAGGATCCTGGGCTGGAGAAGTACAAGTGACACTGGTCATACTGGAGCTTCCCGTCACGTTCCACAAAGGGAATGGTCTTGTTGATGAGCTCGGCGTGGTACTTTGACTGCACAGCGTACGTGTCGTTGTTGTAGCCGGGGATCGCGCATCTGGAATAATTATGATAATTCTTAACTTTTTGTTAAGGTGGGCTTTTGATCACTTCAAATAGTATTCAAGGGATAAACCCAATGTACTGAAACAACAGACCCTTCACGAACCTGACGTTCAAACATCTGACCGAGAGTATGTTTGTTGGGTTCAACACTATCTTTTAAACTTGAGGTTAAATCATGAAATTACAAAGTAATGCCAACCCCTAGCATCAGTTAATGAGACTGAATGCTGAAGTATGCGGTCTAGCATGTAAACGTTAAGCCCCTAATCTAGACAAATAACTTGTTTGGTTTTACGCCGCCTTTACAAATATTACACCAATGTCATGACTATAAAAACCACACACTGGCTTCCCACACTGGACCCAAGTGGGGAATCAATGCCGAGTATTCGGTGTGACGAGCGAGTTGGTTACCCCAATAGTAGAGCGATTTTTGGGGTCGTGTACCAAACCTGTTGTTATCCCGTCTAGCCAGCATCTTACGTTACGTACGTGAACTATAGCATTTATAAAATAGGGGATTTTTAAGAAACAGGTAGCACAATGACTGATAATTTATATCTTTAATGAGCTAAATATTTCACCAGTGTAACAACGATATCTCTGACTGAGGCTTGCATTAGTTAGATGACCATGGATTTTGTTAGATTCTTGGCCAAAGCACCCTACTGTTCATCACGTCATTTACCATTAATTATCGCGTGAATCCGCCTATATCCTCAAGACAATCCCGGATTCGACGAGGCATACTCCTAATCAAACGTCCATTGTCTTGGTTACTTCCATTCGATTCTTCCTACAGGGTACGTTCACTGAATTAACAATATCAGAACACCTTTCACTCTGGTTTTACTAAATTTATCTACAGCAACACATTGACGTGTTTCACTGTAAATGTCGAATTTCCTCCGTGTTAAAATAACGCTTGCACGAAATTGGTGTGTTTGCACGTTATGAATGACATAAGCATTTTCAAAATCCAAACAATATCACCCTAAAATTGAATACCCCCTACTTAGTGGTATATATCAATAGCAGAACTTCTTTGGTGTACATAGACTGTATTGTTTGATGTATTTCTACCCACAGTTTAAAGATATATTACAGTTTTGTGTACAAATCAGCTCAAGGGGAAAATTCTCAAAACATTGTGAACTCTGCAAAAGATACTGTAATGATTATGACTGCCATGTAATTTTACACTGTGAACACTATATGTACAACAGAAATAATTTCTTTTCAAAACTTATAGATCTCTTTGATGTGGATGTTTATGTACAAATAGAATTATTATCTGAAGATGAAATGTTATCACTATTTTCTGGGGGTGAACTACTAGTTACTAACGATATTGATGAAATGTCATGGAGATGTATGATTGTCCTCTTCTGTAAATACCTATATTCCTTGCTTCCCTCACTAAACTGTGCATTCTAGACCTTTCATTTTTCTTAGTACATGTATATATGACTATATGAATGTGTTGTGAATATATTGCTGTGATTATTTTGCTGTAAATATGTCATGTACATGTTCATAATGATCTTCGGACTACAATCTGGAGGAAATAAAGAGATTCATTCATTCATTCATTCATTGACGTGTTTCACTGTAAATGTCGAATTTCCTCCGTGTTAAAATAACGCTTGCACGAAATTGGTGTGTTTGCACGTTATGAATGACATAAGCATTTTCAAAATCCAAACAATATCACCCTAAAATTGAATACCCCCTACTTAGTGGTATATATCAATAGCAGAATGGCTATGCACGTCTGTCTTCCCTCATGATTAGTATGAAAGATGGCATTTATATGAAAATATATGCATGGCAGCGGAGTTATGTGGTGTTAAAACACAGGTTGTACTTATGCGCCAGGCTGTTTGAACCAGTAACGATTAACGTTGTGAAGAAACACTTTCCATTCGCACATCTCATAGTGCGCGGGTTGCAATGACAGTTCATTAAAATTCAACAAAAATACGATAGAAACAACGATCTGCATTGGGTGTTCCCTTTATTCGGTTTTATAAGTTTTCGGCCTAAGGTACTCGCCGTATATCGAGGTAAGGAACCAATGTATGTTACATCCTGACGAAACATCTCAAATATCTGGACACAGGGTGACAGGCGACAGACAATGCCAAGCATAACCTCTGGGTACAAGAACCACGTGGTAGTTAGTCACTGTGTGATCACGTGGTAGTTGGTCACGTGATGAACTGCAGCAAGCAGTATGTCATGATTCAGGAATGCAGCTGATGCGCATGGTGTACGTATTTGTATGTAGCTATACGTGTCTCCCCAAGCGTGTCCAGTCAAGGGGCCGCCCTATCATTAGTGATAGTCAAGCTTCATAAACTGCCGAGAAAAGAAACTATACACCCATGTTAGATGGTGACTACATACAACTCAAAACATACAGCCGAGGCCCGTTTACGCTGACTCCGTATTTCCAAAAATCCCGCCTTCCGCGCGAGTTTTTACCGAACTAATTCGATAGTAAGGTATTTAATACAGGTATCACAAGTGTGTTTCGGCAACTGTGATGTTTTCATTTGTAATTGTTTGGTAAAATCCAAGTTTGAAGTTTATGACTCATATACATACTTCTGCTGGTGTTCGACAGGGATGCATGTTAAGCCCAGTTCTCTTTATCCTCTATATTAACGAGCTAGTGGCAGAATTTGAACAGAGCGAGTTGAGGGGGATATTTGTCCAAGAAAACTTGAAGGAAATTTTGTTACTTTTATTTGCCGATGATCTTGCTTTGGCCAATGATACAATTTTAGGATTACAAAGGAAATTAGACTTTCTTGAGAAAGCTTGTATTATATGGGGCTTTGAAGTAAATTTGGATAAGTCAAATGTAGTAACATTTAGAAATGGTGGCCCATTAAAAAGGACAGAGCGGCGGTCGTATGCTGGTACAGAATTGAAGTGTGTTTCGTATTATAAATATTTAGGACTCATATTTTCCTCAAGATTGATTTGGTCCAGGGCGTGTGAAACTCTGGCTATTCAGGCCAAGAAGGTGCTGTTTCTTGTTTACAGATTAATGACATATCTCCCCTCGTTACCATTTCATTCTGTAACTAAAATATTTGATTCAAAAGTTTCTCCAATCCTCTTATACGGCTCAGAGATATGGGGCCATACATTCAGGCAGTCAACAGAAAAGGTTCAAACTGATTTTTTAAAGAAGTGTCTTAGGGTCTCCAGAAGAACATCAAGCAAAGCAATTCTTGGTGATACAGGCAGAAGTTATTTGTGTGTTAATTATTACAGTCGTTGTATTAGATACTGGTGCAGACTTATTCGAATGGATAGATCAAGGTATCCCAGGGCTAATTATGAAATGATGAAACATTTTGATGAACAGGACAAAGTATGTTGGGTTTCTCGCATTCGAATATTATTGTTTGAAACTGGCTTTTCGTACGTATGGTTCACTCAAGATTGCGGTAGTATTAACGTTTTCATGAATTTGTTTTCACAAAGATGTAGAGACATACAATTCCAAAATTGGCATTGTAAGATCCCAGGGTCATCATTTCTAAAACATTACAGTGGTTTTAAATCTGTTTTGGATGTTGAAAAGTATATTCTTGAATTGTTTCCCGAAAAAGACCTGTTGAGGGTATATCGTAAGTTTCGCCGTGCATCTCATAAATTGAAAGTTCAGTTAGATAGATTTAAATGTTATGATAACCCAAATGCGTTACTATGTACCAAATGTCTCCTGGGCTGTATTGAAGACAAATTTCACTTTCTATTTATTTGCCCTTACTATAAGTAAGCAGACAACAGTTTTTACCTGAATATTATTATAAGAATCCGTCTGCTTAAAAAATGTATCAACAGCTAGCATCCACTGACACAAAACTTTTCAAATCTTTGTCGTTGTATTTGAAAAGAAACTTGCCAATTTGATATTATTTGTGAATGAATGATATACCGGTATGTGCACTGTGTGCAGTTATTATGTATTAGTAATATGGGTCACATGTTCCCATTTCGCCTACATCCCATTTTGCCTACAGTAATTGAGGATGGCAAGTCATCCACCCCTCATTCAGTGAATGGGATGGCCCACATTTCCTGCTCAGTGTCGTCAAAAGAATATGTTCACTGTTTTGTTTTGTTATTTTATTAATTAAAGTGGTTTGATGCTTAATAATGCAAATTACTGTAATAGGTTTGAGATCAAAGTCACTTTATATCTATGTTGATAAGATTTGTTGTTTTAATAAAGCCTTAATAAAGGGTTGTGAAATGTTGTTTGTGATGTCAAAATGGCAAACGCATTTCTTCAGAGAGTAGAATTTATTACGACACAGAGAGGCGGGCAGCAAGTTCTATATGATGGAAACGTCAGGTGGCAACACACTGGAAGTGTTTTCAGACAGGATGCAAGGCACGTTGCAGTACCATAGGGGACCACATCACCATTGCATCTGACCACTGCCATCCCAGAGAGAATGAAGATCATACGCGTCTTCTAAGCCGACTCCGTGAACGTGTGCAGGCCGACATCACCCCAGTTCAGCAGATCTACGATGATGAGCTGAATGCAGCTGAAGACGTGAACGCAGCAACCATGCCATCCTTCAACAGCTTGAAGTCCGGACTGTATCGACAGCGAAGCAAGTGCATTCCACCTCTTCCCCAGTCTCGAGCTGAGGTTGATCTGCAAGAACCTTGGACTCAGACCCTTAATGGCCACCAGTTCCTGTGCATCGACGACGGTGTTGACAAGCTGCTCGTATTTGCTACAACTGATATGCTAGATATTCTGAGTGAGGCAGAGACCCTGTACATGGATGGTACTTTCTTCACATGTCCCAGTTTGTGGGCGCAGGTTTACATTGTGCATTGTATGGTGGACGAGAAAATGTACCCTGTTGCATTTTCTTTGCTGCCAAATAAAACCAAACAAACTTGTGAGAGACTTTTTACTCTGTTGAAGAACACCACTGAGACCGTTACCGG